TATGAGACAAGTAGTTCTGTTGGTGTGCGATGCCTAGGTCGAGCAGGTGGGAGAGGGACGAGGCTGGTCTGAAGTGGCGGGTGACGCCTGAGTGCCTGGACTGATCCTCTTTCAGCCACCTGCCACCGCGGCTCTGCTTTTTCCGCGTTAGTTATTGGCTCTTGGAATGTAGGAAAACTCCTCAGTACGGTTGGCCAGTGTTGTGCCGATCTGTCACTAACTCGTGCAAAGACAGTGGGTAATTGCGTATGAGCATTATGTCGGCTACGTCATCGGTATGTCGCCATGATTGAAATAGTAGCCCATTGAATATTAATACACAAGTCACCACAAATAAAATGTGGTTGAAACTTGCGGGATGATTCCAACCAAATGAATACATGCGTATGTGTGGCCGGTGTCTGCGTCGGTTATCTCCAACATTGCCATGGGATTAGCTCCAAAATTCTGTACGGTTTGCGTAGGCTACGTTTTGCCATTTGCCCATGCCTTATTGTATGATCTGGTAAATTGCAAGGGTTCTGCCGGGTCAGCTGTTTAGGCACCCGAAGACGCGATATCACCAGTTTTATTACTTTAATAGTCTTATAATAGTTTTTTCTGGTTTAGAAATCACAGTAACTTTGCGAAACAAGACTAGGCTGAGCCGCTGGTAATGTAAGCCTAGACTGCTATGCCGGAGCGGTTAGCGACGTGTCGTGTGGAGATGTGATCGATGCAAGTGCGAGGACGGAGCGTTGAAGTGGCAGGTGAAGGCCCTCCTGAAGACCTCCTCTTGTGACGCCGGGAGTGGCGATGGGGGGCCGGGCTGGGAGGGGAGAGGGAGATACATTTGTGCTTGAATCCAGCTCACCTTTAAATCACTGTTAAATAAAGAACTGTGGCAGGCTATGGATGCATTGACAACTTGATAATTATTGGCGGTTTGTGTGCAGAAGGTCGATCTACGCTTGGCATACCTGAGAAGCTGAAATATGCATTTTGAAAAGGCATTTGTGATTTTATTGTATAACGACGCAAATTTATTGTCAGACAATAAATTTGCTAACTTAATTCTTGAAATCGTTTTTATATTAAACCACGCAAAGGATTAATCCTTTATTTGGTACGCATTGAGCCACAATAACATCAGATATTTTTATTGACTTTATCAATATCAACAAAGTTATTATATACAGATATAGCACTTAACCTTGGGAATGCCTGTTTCTTTCCCCCCTATCATTTTTGAGCATACTTAAGAAGTGAGAGTGAACTCCAACAATCTCCTATTGTTTCATGGATTATTCAGGAGTGTAACAGGAAAGTTCATTCCCTATCAGTTATGAGCAACAGGGCGACAAGAAAAGATTTCCTCGCCTTTGTCAGTCTCTCGCGAAGCCTACGCTGCTTACAGCAGAATGCCGTAGAAACCTCGAGCGAGAAGAGGGCGAGGCAGGGTGTTTGGCCAGGGCCAGGAGCGTGGAAATAAGTCCCCGAGACATGGCTGGCTGGCGAGGTTCAAGGTCTGGTGCCGAGAATCACGCAACACAGTAACTCTTTCTTGTGGCGCCCTCGCTTTCCCGCTTCCTCCCACCTTCGCTCGCCGTCCGCCCCGCCCGCCCGCCGCGCGGCCCGTTCTTGCCCGGCCTTGGCACCACGCTGCCTCTGTTCTTTCCGACCTAGCTCTCCCCGGCGCCCACCCCTCGCGGTCGCGGGTAAAACAAAACATGAATACTCGTATATTTAGTCTTATGACAGTACTTTTATTTAGCTACTACGTACAGAGCTGGGATGGTAATTGGCAGATGACGGCACGCAGCACGACCGCCTCCCTCGGGCGGCGCTGGCGGTGTAAAACTACCCCGTAAACAGTTCAAGGAGGAAGAGAAAGGAAGGTCTTGTTAGTCTTGAAGTGGAGCCGCCGCGGAAGGGAATGTGGCGCTGGAATCGTGTTTTTCGACATACGATTCTTTCAATATGTGCATGGATGTATATGTGCATGTATATGTATATATATGTATGTATGTATATATGTATGTATGTATATGTTATATATATATATGTATATATATGTATATATGTTATATATGTATATATATGTTATGTATAATGTATATATGTATAATATATATATTATATATATATATATATATTATATATATGTGTA